AATACCTAATTTGTAAATAAAACCCACTGGGAAGCTGCTGTTCCTTTTTTTAGTGAAATGTGACTCCCTTATCATGAGTTGCCAAAAGAGGGGAGGAAGACAGTTAGAATAACTGCTGAATAAATGAAAGATGTGTGTCACATTCCTGTGTGCCTGTGGTCACAGGAAAAGCGCCCTTTAATTGTGTGGGGAATCTCATAGCAGAGATTTTATAAATGGAGCAGGCTAATCAACAGATAAATGACCAAAGAAAGTACTTTCTTCTTTGCTTTTTAGGACTGACTGAAAGTAAACACCCACTCCTTTTCTGCTTTCGCCTTCGAAAGTCTAAAGCTAACATTGGGTCTTAGGCAAAGCGAGTGATTTTTGGCCATTGAGCTGGTAGGTCAGCAGATAGTTACTCAACAAACGTGTTATCCCCAAAACATTTTGTTATCAGACATTAGAAAGATCAATGATATTAAGTTCTGGTGATGTTAACTCCAAAGTTGATTTGGAGCTAAATTAATATTGAACCACATCTTCCCTGTGGGGGTAAAAATCTTAGAATGGGATTGGTTGTTAGTAGAACAGCTTGTATTTTTCTATTTCTGTACTAGTAACTTTGGTTGTTCTATAAAAACATTGTTCATTATTTTAAAGCGAACTCTGTAATTATTTCAGTATATAGTTAACTATGATCGATGTCTTTCTGGGTGCTTTGTTTTTTAGAAGGGGGGAAGAAGAAGCTGAAGAACATTACTCAAACTGAATGTCACCTGTATTTGTTTTAAGTTGCACCCTCGTGATTTGAGTAGGATGGTAAACATGAATGTGGATTGTGGATCTGGGCCATGAATTCTTAGCATTTTTAACTAACCTAGATTGGTTTCTTAACTGCCATATTGCAGTAGCTCTCATCTATGCTGTCCCACTAGCCTCTTGGAAATGTGGTAAAAGAGTATGTCTTCCTCTGTTAATTTCCATAGCACTCAGCAACATTTGCTGTCCAGTGTTGTGCTGGGCTGAACCTGTCAGTCTTTGTTTTCCTGTCTGCATATTTGTTTCACAAATGATGTCAGATGAGCTTTGGAATACTGCTCGTGGGTTGTTGGTGTTGAAAAGCCAGGAGCAAACATAAAATGTTGGCACAATTAAAATTACTTATATTGTTGGCTTGCCAAAGCTACAAATGCTGCAAATCAAACTAAAATCTGATGGTCTAGAAAACCTGATACCTGGTTCTTTTTCTACCCAGTATTTCTTTTTAAAAGTTAGGCTCACAAAGTTACCATGTCGATAACATAAAGGTAGGGTGGAAGACGTTGTCCCTGTTATTCCCTGCTTGTTCTTACTGTCAGTCAGCAGTTGAAGGAAACTGAATCACAGCCTTTTCCCTGCTACGGGAGTTCTCTTTCATTCTCCTCCCCGCTTTCTCTCTGCATAACCCAATTTGTTTCTGGAAATTACTCCTTCATCCTCAGTTGCACATTATTCTGACACTGTTTGGCACTGAGTTGAGCCTCTTCCTGTTAGGATTTCATTTCCATTTTAAGGTATCACTGTAGCAGTGTTTTGCTATTGGAGGAGGGCTTGCTACAATTTCCACGTGAGCCTGCTCATTCATTTGGTCAAGTAAACTTGCTGACAAATGGTACAGTGTGTTGTTTCTTCAGGAAGCGCTGCATAGCAAGAACAGTATAGGTACAGTATTCATAATTGCTTCTGGAGGTGAGAGGAAAAAGCAGTACCTGTTGTTTTTCCCTTCCAACCTCTACAGTGTACTTGAATTTTAACAGATTGGTGTGTAGTTCTGTCCTTAGAGTGCTTCATCTGTGGCCCAGGAGGAGCAGGAGTGAATGGCTACTTTATACGTTCGCTGCTGTTTCCCCAGGGATGCTGAGGAAGTCCTATTGTTATAAACAATAGCAAGAGTACAGCCTGTTTAAGTTTGTCCTAGCGAGGAATTGGGTGGTAATTTGCTGCTGCTGCTGTACAAGCCTCACTGGGCACGACTTCAAGGCTGGAATCCTTAGATGATTGCCAGTGCCACCCTCTGTTTGGCATTTGCATGCAACAGGCTGCAAAGTAAAGCATTAAAACTTTATTTTGTATCAGGAATACTGCCAAAAATATGATACTGATTTGAGGTGTTTTAAAAGTAAGGAGCTAGTGTGGAAATGAGGAAGCGGGAGGGGAAAAAAAGTGATTCGGGGGGTAGTAGAGAAGGCAATGTGGAAAGAAAAGGGCAAGACAAACAGTTTAAATGATAGCAACCCTTTGATTGTACAGTGGTTTTAGTCACAACAAATTACCATTATTAATTTATATTTCCAACCTAGTTGTTATGATTTGACTGCCATCTGTACTGGGCTTCTGTGATTTCATTCATAGTAACCCTGTAACACATCAATTGCTGTAATGTGACAGGCAGTCATGATTCACTAACTGGTATACAGGTACAGGGATAATTACTTATTTACAATCACTGCACTGTGAATCTATAAGTATGTTGGCTATAATTAGTCCCATACTGACTAAAAGGCAAGCCATTTGCCAGCTTCAGAGAATCATACACAACTCCATTTCTCCTAACTTTGAGTTGCTAGTCATTATCTGTTTCTATTTATTTGGGGTATTTTTCATGTTGTCTCCTAACAATCCTTTCATTCCTTTTAGTCCAGTTTTCCTTCATTTGAAATCACTGTAAGAAAAAGTTGGCCTCGTCTATCACTTCCTGCAGAGCGCAGCACAAATTCAGTTCTATTTCCTATTCATGGGTCGGGTCTTTCTTTGTTTGCCTTCATGGAGGAATGCCAGATTCTGTTTCCCTTCTTGTTGTAAACAGGCATGTTTTAAGAGGAAAGGGCCTTGCTAAGCTAATGGGAAGAAAGAGCACGAGGAAATGGAAATTAAATAGGTGAGAAAAGGTGGTGTTAATTACCTTGAGAACCAACGAGCTCCAAAGGTGAGGAGTTTATTATAATATATCTTGATAACTAATTTGTAAGTAGGAAGCACCTCCAGCTTCTGCAGTATATGAGGAGAGTCTGGTGTTCTCAGAAGAACAAACATAGAGGTCAATCAGTGTCAAAAACCAATGTGCAAGGATTCATCATTTTTAAACATTTCATTGTTTCAGAATTCTTTAGCAAATATGAAAGGATAACCTGCTTTTATAATAAGTTTTGGGGGTTTTATGTCACTTTCTCTGTGGCTTCTTGTTCTAGGTTTGCTAGCATACAGCTGAATGATGAATTAACGGTGGGGAGCCCACTGCACAAAAAGTAGCCTCCACAGATGTGTCTAAAGAGTAGATTATATTTCACCTTGATCTTATTATAGGCTTTTTTTTTTTCTTTTTTATAATACAGACACAGCTCACATATTTTATAGGAACTTTATCTGTATCTCAGGACACTGTTCCTTATTGGTAGAAGGCCTCGCAGACCTAAAAGACGAAACTGAGAGAGGAAGATAGATGGAAGGCAATACAAAGCAGCATTTTTTAATACAGTTGACAGCATAGCAGTAGTCTAAACACTGTTGATTTGTCATCTCAACAGATTTAAAGAAAGGCTGGAAGAAAAATAGTGAAGTTGCTGCAAGTATTTGCATAGTTCTTCCAATTGCTTTTGCTTGGGAAGGAGAAGAAGCTTTTTGAAAAATTGAAAAAGGTGCATTGTTTGGAAACAGGGAAAATGGGAATCCTTGTCATGATGCTGAATAGTGGTTCTCTGAGGAGGTTGTGTTGTAAAAAGCCTTGAAAGTGAAGTCAAGTTAGCTTAATTGATATACAGTTGGAAGAAGTGAATTATAAAATGGTAACATTTGGCGTCTATGAAAAGGACTTTGCTGCTGTGCTCTGAATGCCCGTGAGCAGAACATCATTGCCATTTTCAAGGCAAAAGGAAGTGCTGTAATGACCAAGACATGAGCTGTGAGCTTGGGCAAGTGCAGTGGAAAGGTGTACTTTGGAGAGAAGGTACTCATTCAGCATGACTGGAGGTAAGTAGTTAGGAGAAACTAGAGAGATCTAGATCAGATGAGATGCTGGGCTATAGAAGAACAGTGGTGATGGCCCACAGTAATCATGAAAGAGATATTTTAGACGTTTTGAGGAAGAGCTTTAAGAGCCCTGTTTGTTGTCAACAGACAGTTGGGATTTCACGGGAAGGTATTGTGCAGCTTCAAATTTGAACAGACCAATTTCTCACTTCATCATTTGCTATGCTCTATTTAGGACTTCTTAGAGTTGTTTTCCACAAAAATGTCTCATGAATAGGACTAAGACTGAAAGTTTTAACCAGGTTTCTTCTATGAAATGTGTTGCTTTAAAAATATCATTACACCAAAGATCTCTCAGCCAAAAGCAAGGCAAACTGCAATTGGGGATAGAAAGGTATCAACCCTATTGGCCTGTTTCCTCAGCAAGAGAATGGCTTTTCTGAAATCAGATAGGAAACAATATCTTTTAAATTTTCTCTGAAGCATTTTGAAGCTTGGTTTTTACAAGCAACTTCTATGTATCGGATTTCAATGCTATTCCTATTCACATTCAGTGGAATTGCAGTACTGAGGAATCCTTGGATCAAATACTTGGATATATACGGAACAGAAAAGAGGCATTCATTCCAGAACACACTTTGTGTTTCTAAGTAATTCCTTTGGAAGATTAAAAGTATGGCAAATCTGCAAACAAAACTGAGAAACTAGAAAATTATGTTCATTGTTCTGTTATCTCAGTTCTCAATGTCATTTATGAGTACATAAGAACATCTTGTTGATTGAAATGGATTTTTGCTATTTCAGGTATGTAATTATGGGGATGCCCTTGAATTATTTCTTGCCAGCTAAAAAAACCCTCCAATCTTTAAAAAATAATCTCTTGTCAGCTATGTGGCAGAAGGTAGAAAATAGTAAATTAAAACTTTTTAGTACAATTCATTCTGTAAAGCAAGTTATTAAAATAATTTTTTGTAACTCTTAAATCTAAAAGCAAACTTTTATTTTTCTTTCAGATGAATGTCTGTAGGTTACGCTTAACAGTACCACCTGATGAAGGTTCACAGCCTGAACAGGGAGCAAAGGAACCTGAAAGAAAGAAAAACGTAAGTTCTATGAATTGAAGTTAAATTCTGTATAAACAAGGAGTAAATATTGCCATCTACAGATGCTGATATTAGTTGTTTGGGGAGTCCAAAGCCCAGTCATCTTGGAAGAGTGGAGAACATGTGGAAGCTGAGCAAGTCAGCTGTGAGCTTTGAGCCTGAACCTTGGAGCTGGGGATAGCAAACCTGCCTGTAAGACAGGACAGTAACAGAGGAACAGTGCAGACATTGTAGGTAATTTGTGACTGAGGTACCGTTAAGACTTAATTATTTAGTATTTATATATTAAAGAGTAGGAAACTGTTATCAAGAGCAGGGTCTTGAATTAAACAGGATCTTGATCCTCACCTGAAGGGGATTTTATGTTTCATGTAGGCTTATCAGTGTGCAAGATTTTAGCCTTAATGTGTGTGGGAGCTGGCTTGCCTGGGACTCGGATGTTTTGCTGTGTTGGCTGATTTTGGTAACAGGTGATGTACTAATAAGAAATACAAAATAATTCAAGATTCTGAAGTGAAAGTGATCTGAAGGTCATGTGCATAGAAGGGTTCAAAATGGCAAATTTTTTGTAGAAGCAAGTAGCATGCACACAAAAAAAATCTTACAGGTGCTTTGGTGCAGAACTTATTCTTTAAGAGCTGTGTCAGAGCAATAGATAATGTTTAATTTGTCTTAAGGATGGAGACTAAAAAGGGAAGCTGGACAGGCTCCGCAACTTGACCACATTTACACTTTGATAAACCAAAATCAAACAAGAAGTTGGCCAAGTTTACCAGACCCAGTGTCTGAATAGCAGTATGACAATAGGAAGCAAAACAATAGGATTTATTTGAAAGGATTTCTTAGTGGTACTCAGAAGCAAAAGTAACTGCAAAATGACTCAAAGACAAACATTTTAAAGCAATAAAAATACATGCAAAGTAGAATGGTAAAGGTAAAGATTCCTTATCAGATATTTCTTGTGCTGGAATCTTGTATACGCTTAGCTTTTCATACACTGCTCTGGCAGAGGATCTATAAATGTTACTTACAGAATGGATTAAAGAGGCCTTAATGCAAACGAAATTTGGGCCACCATTAAATAGTAATAATTCATTTTGTACGGAGGGGTTTAGTTGTAGCACCTAGAGTAGCTTCCCCCACTACTTATTCTGTCAGTCTCTGCCAGTTTGTATCTGATTGCAGAAACCCTCAGACTGGCCTAAGCATATGGGCCCATTGCCCTAAGGGTAATGTAAGTTTGTTTTTGAGGAGGATAGATTTTGACTCATGGCTTACTCACTTTACTGTGCTGAGTAGTGTAATAATAAGAAAGAAGTGTGAATGACTAGGGCTTGGACAATTTGTAGTGACTTTATGTGACCATTTTTTTTCTCTGTGGGACCTTGTATTTAATGAGAGCTCTATTTTCCCCATCATACAAGTAAAGGCAAGTGGGTTTTATATCAGAGAATGTTAAGGAGAGGATATGAGAGGTAATAAATACATTATTGGGCTCATTTTAGAATACTTACTTGTACATTATCAGTATATTGCACAGTGATTTTTAAGAGATGGGTCATTTTTAGTTGAGACCAAAAAAAAGGGTATGTAATTTAATTATTGTGTGCTCTGAGTAGTTTTCTAAAGTTCAGTACTTTTACACAATTTAAAGACATTTAGAAAGTATGTATACTGCCTTCAGAGCTAGATGGGATCTGCTGAGTCAATTTCATAGCAATTAAAAAACACAGAGTAACTGTGTCATCTACTTGTGTTTTATGGTCTTTGTGTAACTGGAAAAATAGCCCTACAGATTGTATAGTCATAGTATATAGAAGAGCTACAAAAAAATCACTAATCATGAACTGTTTTTTCCTCATGTCTCTAAAACAAGACAGTAATGTATTACCTGTAGATTTTTATTGTCTATGTAATGTATTGCTTTATGTATTTGAATTAGTTACACAGTAACTTACAGTGCACACAGGACTCCTGACTAGTCATGTTGGTTTTTTTTTCAACTAAAAAAAAAAAGCATCTCCTAAAAGCAGTGATCGCATATCTCTGCTGATCCACCCATGCTCAACTGACTCAATGTTGATGAAATTACTTAAAGCACTTTGAGAATAACAGGTTTTTCCAATGTTAGCAAATCCTCACACAGTCCTATGAGAACTGTGTCCCCTTCTTGGAAATAGGGATAACGGAGAGAAATTGGGGAATTGCTCAGTTTTCTGCCTTGCACTTTGCAATTTAAGGTCAACAATACAGCTTCACAAGAATCAAATTTAACAGCAGGTCTCTTGTTGGAATCTAGAGTTCTGTGCTGTCTTTAAATCCTGAATATTAAGAAAATGGGAACATGGAAAATGGTTTTGGTATTTAAAATATAGTAGTGTGACTTACAGAAATGAACTGCAGGGATAATCTGTGGGATTGTTCCGGAGCCTGGCTGCCCTGTTTGGGCAGGACAAGTGCTGGAGACACTCTTCCCTCCCTCTGCCTGCTGCTGGTGAGGGAGGAGAGCAGAGACCTTGCTGTGTCAAAGGGAATGCCAGAAAGCTATAAATACACCGTGGCGTGACGTTTGGTTGTAATCTCCTCTTTCAAATCTTTCATTAGAAGGAGGTGATTTTGAGCTGCCCTGATGTGACATAGTGATGGTTTACTGACTATTTGTTACTTTTCTGTATCTTTCTGGGGCTCAGTACCATTAAGAGATGTTTCAGTTGCAAAATCAGCTAGTGAACTGCACAGAAGCTCTTGCTAGTGCCGATCCTCCCAATAACTTGTTTTGGAGCTTCATGTCAGATCAGAACTAATTCTTTATTGGATATGTTAGTAGCTGCTAGCTTAGCCTTTTACATTGTAGTCCAAGTTTAGCAGGAAATGTATGCTGTATTTCCTTAAATCTGCATCAGTGCATTAAGTTTCTAGGTTGACTTTTTTTATTGCTATACATCCATTAAATGAAAATGAACCAGTGTAAGAGATTAAAACAAAGTGATGGAGCTGGGCAGTTTTGTTGCAAGAAAATTGCTGCAGGCATTACTGTACTAGGATGGCCTCCCCCCATCTTTTGTGAAAGGCTGGCAGATGGTACGCAGTTGATCTCAAAAGCTGAAGGGGGAGTGAGCTTGTGCTCCAGTGGGTCAGGTTGGATTTTTATATTCGTATTTAGGCTATGATACCTTGAAAGAAGCCTATAAGAACTGAGGTCACAAGTAGAGGCTGGTTGGTTGGTTTGTTTACTTTTTACAGGCTAAAAGCCTACTGCTAAATATCTCTGAATTGTTAGCACTTTAGGTAGAGAGAATCTGAAACTATGTTGATTTTGTTCCATTATTTCTGTTAATGATAGACAATGGATGACAGTAGTGTGAGGCTGTTTACTTCACCCTGAAGTACAAAGGAATATTGTGCTTGTCAGATTGTATGCAAAATCTGCATGTCCTGAAGCCTGCCTTGTCTTGCATAATAAAGGGCTACCAGACAATGGCATTGTTCCTGTTCGGGATTGGGCTTATTTTTATCCATCAGTCCCTTTCTTCACTGTCATGGCTAAATTTGGAAGTGTCATGGGAAGCTGCAGCTAGGCGTTTGAGGTCGGAATATGGAGATACATATAGGCAGGTTTTTCTTTTTCATTTGGACACATGGACAAGAGAATGAAAATGAGATAACACTCTAGAAATTTGTGTCACTTTCCTGGCTTTCAACAGAGTTTGAGCAGTGTTTAGTCTTAAACTCTAATTGGTACTTTGGCTGTATATATCCTCAAACTCTTTAATTTTCTTATGTTTTTAAAGCATCCAACCAAAGATGAAACTCTTTTTGCTTCCTAAGCAGGAATACAAAAGCATAGCAAACATTTTTTTCACCAGCAAAAAAGTAGGCTGTAAAGAAGCCAGAAGGGGAATTTGCTCCTGTATGTGATGGAGAGAATTGAGCAGAAACTTGTGTCAGGATCAAAGACTATGAGTGCAATGAACATGGGGCTGTTGCGCACGTTGAATCTAGGACAGTGCCTATTTTCTCTGCTGATCTGCTGCTGCCAGCCCACTCCCATCAGCACAGCAGAAGTTGTGTCATAACAAATGTGGTTCGCCTGCTACAGGTGGCTGATGTTACTGTTTCTCAGCCTCTCCAGCACTGATTGCTTGATTTTTGATGTGTACTAATTGTGACACCTTCATTAAAAACAGTACTACACAAAAACCACAGAAAGAATTCTACTGACTATTTGTTTTCTATTCTATTTGTTGTATCTTATTTTCTTAGTGTGTAAACATTGGTGTTCTGTGTACAGGTTTCATTGATTAGATATGACTTTGTATAATGCCTGTCACTTCTATTTTTTAATAGGCACCTAAATTCTACATTTCAAGGAGCTTAGAAGTTGGAATGTGTTAAATTATGCTTCTTATTTAGGGTAATGAATTTAAAAACACTCATGTCTATGTCTTGGCATATTTTCCCTATTTTAATACTATTTATGTATGAAATGTCCCTAAATGCAACATGGGTTTCATGGGCTGTAGATGAATATGAAAAGACATTAAAACATAGCTACCTTTTGTCAGAGTACAGTGACTTTCCTTGGTGAGCTCAATATTATAAATTTGCCGTTTTACTGAACAGAAAATATGTAACCTAAGTAACAATGTGAATGTTCTTGTTCCTTCTATAACTAGTGAACAAGCAAAACATAACTGGATATTTCAGAAACCTCTGGAATGTGGCAGTTGAGAAAAAGATAAAGCCTCGCTTAACTGATATAGTTCTGGTTAAAAGAAGAGTTTTTAGATGGTGTAGGCAAACAGAAGATTATGATTTAGCAAAATTTTAAGGCTATATGAGTACTAAACCCAGAATTGTGCTAATCATTACATTCGATGTCCTTTTTCCTCAAAATAAGATACCTGCTTCCAATTTTGGGGCAGGGAGAAAGTAGAAAGTATGGAGCTATCTGAGTTCATTTAAAAAACTGATGGAGATAGATGAGGAGGCAAATCATCCCTCAGTGTTATTTACATAATGCCAGTAAAACCATGGGCAATACAAAAAGCAGCTAACAACTCATATTTAGGGTTTACTTTTATGGTGTCTTTGCTTCATCTTTCATGCTACTTGTGCTACTTCCTTGGACAGAGATATAAACAGGATGCATGGCAATTATCAAGACTTTTGCAACCTTGGGGTGTAGGCTTCTGTTTTAAATATTTATTAATTAAGTAAACTCAGTCTGCGTTTCTTTAGTACGTGATGTGTGATCACACCAAGTGCAACATGACTGTTGCTGCAACAAAGACAAAACATGTTCCTGGAAGCTGCTATGGTATTCATGTGCATCAACATGATGTGTGCTTGCTGTTACCTTGGACTGTCATAAAACTGACTGTAGGTACAAAGAAATATTCGCAAATTGCTTAAGCTAAGTCTGCCTTTTCAGATCAGCAGCTCCCAGTAGAAGGGATTTTGAGCACAATTTGGGGCAACAACTGCACTTGTTTCCGTACAGCAAGTGCGTAGGCAGGTGAGGAGCAAGAACTTCCATGTACTCTGGAGCTAGCTGATATTTTGACGTTAAACGGCAATGGTTAACTAATCTAATGAAACCTTCCATCTTCAAGCACTTTTCTGGTTAGCTTTACAGTATTTACTTCCTCCGCAATACTTGCATGTATTTACTTATTCTGTTACCATCACAAGGTGCCCCACTGCAGATCAGAGTGGAGACAGGCGAGGACCTTCTCAGAAAAATATCTGAGTTCTGAGAGTGGGTATGTATGGGACATAGAGGAAAACAATGAAAAGTATTTGACTTAAACATTCTGTAGTCCCTGAGGATGTGGAAAATCCAGGATTTGTGGAAGAGGAAATGTGGGAGAGAGAGAGATGACAGAGGAAGAACACAGGACAAGGCAGAAAAGGAAAAAACACTGAAGGGAGAAAAATAAACAAAGGTGGGTAGAGAGGAGACAAACAGGCAGAAAGTATACTCGATGCATACTTAGTGATGCAGTTCTGTGGAGCAGTTTGAGAACTGAGCCATTCAGCCAGGCGTCCTTTAGAGGCAAAGTTGTATTAAAAAATAGTCAACAAAGCAAACAACCCATCCACCTCTCAACCCTGTATTGAGCAAAGTTTTCTGACTGTAACCCTTTCTCTAAGAGGAGACTGCATCAGGTTAGCCCTTTTTTGTCAGGGCATATACTGAACCCTGAAACAAGTAGTTATTGGGTGGAAATTAAGAGTTATCAACCAGAGAAAAGGGGGAGTAGAAAGTAAGCATAGCTGGAATAGAACAGTAAGGAAAAAACCTAAAGAAATATGAGAGTCGTTATTTGTATAGCTGTTGGTTCACACAGCTTTAAATCAACAAGAATTGTACAGAAATTTTAACAGGTGCTTGCCTGGGGATTGTGATACGAAGGAGGAATAAGGAGGGGCATAAAAGCAATATCCTGTATTTTAAGTAGTACATAGTAGAACTGGAACACTCCACAGATGATGAAGATCCTTTTAATCTTCTGAAAGAGAAGTGACAAAGGCATCTTGTGAGTCTTGTGCAAATATAGACAACAGGCAAGTTTAGCATCATTGCTAGAGACATGTCACCAGTCTGGCTTTGTGCATACTTAATCCTGCATGTACTGCCCATTATGATGTAAATTTAAGTCTGTTTATCTGTGGAATATGTAAGTGCCATGGGTGATTCTCCAGCTGCAAACCCGTTGGTCCGAATTTGTAGGTCTGTCTTAGAGGGGGGAAAAAAATCCTTCAAAGCATTCTGTAGGAAAGTGTTTATAATATTCTAAAAATAAGGAACTTGGTCATAATTTTCATACAGAACTCTGCAAACAGCACTTTAAACAATTCTGCTAATGTTTCGGAGGCACAAAGGATCTTGGTAGTTGCTGGTATTCAGCTGTTCATGTCATAAAAAATGAATGATCATGGGTAAAGGGTATGGAATTATGAATTCAGTGTCTGGTGCCTTAGTAACCTCTAAACAATCAAAGTGGTTATTCATTTGGTTATCAGGAAGATGGAAACTTGCGTGTAATCCGTTTATCCAGATGCAGGGGAGCGGCTGCAATGAAACTATCAAAGAAACTGTACAACCCTGGAAGCAAACAAACACAAAAAAGTTTTGAGTTATGTCCCCATCTAGTTTCTGTATTTATTCTCAAAAAGTCAGGTGTGGGGTTTTTGGTTGTACACACCCAAACAGCAAAACAAACCCCCCAATAATATGTAATTATGAAACGTCTGATTATCCGGATATGAAGCTTTGCATATAATGTTTTCAAAGTGTAAAATATCATGTATAGGTAGGGCTGGTTGCCCAATGCGTTTCCATTAAGTGGTTTTAAGGCTTTCTTTTAAAATGATTGCTTATAGCTTTGTTGTTCTTTGCCTGAAACATTCTTTATCAGGTGTCTGCTCCATGATTGTTCCCCTCCCAGCCCTGCACACGCACACATAGAGCTTCAGCAAAATGGTTAAGCTATTAATGATATGGTGAAGGAAAACGTGTAGGATTTACAGTATTGAGAAAATCTGTCAGTGCCGTGCAGGAGGGACAGAACATAAAACATATGTCTATCTTTACCCATTCTTCTTAATTCAAGTAGATTTTTCTTTTCATTTTACCCTTACCCAAAGAAGTATTTATTCTTATATTGCCACCATAGTTGTGTTAGTTTGGCTGCTGAAAACTGCAAGTGCTACTGCTTTAGGCTGCAGATGCTATCATCACCGTCTGTCATGGTAAGGACCGGAGCCTCTCTAGGATGCAGCTGCAGATGGATATAAGATGCTGAGCTTCGTCTCTTCCAGCCGCTGTTTGGTGTCAAAGAGAGTATTTAGACACTGCATAGACTCTTAATTTAGTAAAGAATCTCAAAGTTTGTTGGTTTTCATACAGTGTCATTACTGAACAACAAAACAAAACTAAACATATTCTAAGGTCAATGTAGTAAATATTCTCAAATTTACCCGTATCCTGGTATATCTAGCGTGAGAAAGTTCTGTAAAATTACCTATAACTGATGTGTCCCCAGCACTGGCCTTTCAAAGACAACGTGCAAAGCTAAGCAGTGACAGCTGTGCTTCCAAGATTGTGTCTTTCTAACTTTCTGTTCAGAAATAATCACTAATTTTAGGTTCCTAGTTTGCAAATATTCCAAGTTAGGTAAGACTATTTTTTTCCCTTCTTCTTAAAAAGCCATAATGTGGATGTCTTCATCTAAGCTAGTAGTTTAAATTCTTTGTAATCAAGAAGAGAAATTAGTACTTCTGGAGACTGACTCATTTCACATGATTGCTACAGAAGGATGTTTCTCTGGGTTGATTAGAAGGGAGCCTAGGTGAGTAGTCAGGTCAGGTGGTTACATCTGACCTCGCAGATTTTTATTTACGTGCTGAGGGAAATGATTCCTACTGTTTGCATGAGTATTTTTCTTATTAAGTGTATTGATGAGATGAATAAGAAGAGTCTGTTGTGCAAAGAGTATATGTAAGACATACAATTATTACAAGTATGTTTTACACATTTCTGCAGATCATTAAAATAACAAATGTAGGCACTTCAAAACAGCCTTTCTATTTACCTACCAAGACCTGATTTCAAAGTTTTATCCTCCTACAATAGTTAATATCACTGGAACACCCACATGAATGCTGTTTCATAGCTTTGCTTTGGCTCTTACAATGTCAGTTCTACAACTTCTATAAGAGAAATGCAGCCCTGAAATGAATGTTTGATTGCTTTGGAGGTCCTTAGTTAGCTTTAAATGCAAACTGAAATTCTACTTTGTTTATGTCCAAAATAAACTTTTTTTTTTTTCCCCTGAGCTCTGTGTAAGGAACCTTGCCTAAAATGTTTTCATTTCAGTTTCTTCTGAGAACTTTCTACAACTTTTGATTAAACTTGTGAATTTTTGTATTTCCTGCAGCAGGAGTTGGGGGAATGAGGGGCAATTCTGTGGCTGCAAGAGTTTAAAGGGAACTGTGAGAACTGACAATGCTCTGGAAGAATGCAGAAAAGTAGCACATGTTGGTGAATGAAAATAAGCCAGGATAACTTTTTCTCTCACATGTCTCTACCTCTCCTTGCACAAATACAATCTATTGTCTCTAGCTGTACCTGTATCACTTCCATTGAAGGCAGTGGAAATTAGACATCTCTGTCATCTCTATCAATTATAAACTGGTCATTGATCTTCCCAAAAACATGAAGGTTGAGAGTTTGGCCCCAAAATATTTGGGAACTAATGTTCTTGGGTACTGTTGTGCTTTCACTATAGTTGGCTGTCTCTCCTGGCCCTATGTTACTGTATTTTTGTTTGCTATTTTTGTATTCTAGTGCTGATTTTAAAATAGCTTTTTATATTCTTTTTACTTTTAAGGAGCTCTACCATGTACCAAATGGCATGTCTCCAGGGAAGCTCTCTCATGGGATGGTGTATGGCGTGGTGCACCGAACTGACAACAACCATAAGAGAGAAATGGTGGTTTATGGCTGGTCAGCCGATCAGCTGAAAGAGGAGATGAATTACATTAAAGAAGTGAGTTATGCTCTCAGCTTCAAAATTTGTCAAATACCCTTTCCATATATTCATGTAGATCTGTGAGTGTATATGGGATGACTGATGTCTAGCCCAACACCTGACTTTGAATTGGGAACCTACTCTGAAGCTAAAGGCTTGCCTTGTTAGTATTCAAGTTGGAAAAAAAGCATGCTATGTACCTGGGAACTGTGCGGTCCAGACTCAAGGCCTCTGTGCCAAGTGATACTTGTTAACGCTGGCTGACTGGGCTACAGCTGGGCAAGTAAACTGCCAAACAGATCTTGGGGTTCCTGTCCTGAAGCCTTCATAATTTCAAACGTGATACAGAAGAAACTATGTAAGCAGACAGCTGAAAGTATAAACTCTCTCCTCTCTTCTTCTGCTTTCCCTGTCCCCAAACCCCCCAGTTTTGAAAAGGCTCCTAAATTAGGTGACATAGTAAAATCACATGGGTGTATTTTGGGGCAGCCTTAAAATAGTCAGCCTAATAAGGATGACTTTGTACTACTTTCTCTGTGCATGCTTATTTATCATAACTGGCAGAAGCTCTCCTGAAAAAAAAAAAATGCATTTCTGATGCTGCTGGTTTCTGTGCTTGAAACTCAGCATCTCTTTGCCTGTCAGTCCTTGGCTCTCAGGTTTTGGCAATAACCCCCTAATTAGCCCAGGGCAAATAATTTGACCTTCTCTTTCCATCCACCTTCACCACCCAGGAAGCTATTGGTCACTGGTTATTGTGTTACACTGATTTAAGTGCAAACTGAGTTGATACAAAAGGGAGGAACACTGAGTCAAGCCAGCAGTGTAAGAGACTGTAATTATCTGTGCTCTTAACATCTGCCTGGTCTCTAGCTATCGGCACTTGCTTCTTTCCTGTTGTGGTTTAACCCCAGCTGGCAGCTAAGCACCACACAGCCACTTGCTCACTCCCTGCACGGTGGGATGGGGGAGAGAATTGGAAGGGTAAAAGTGAGAAAACTCACGGGTTGAGATAAAGACAGTTTAACAGGTTAAAGCAAAAGCCACACATGCAAGCAAAGGAAAATGGTGAATTCATTGACTACTTCCCATTGGCAGGCAAGTGTTCAGCCACCTCCAGGAAAGCAGGGCTCCATCACGTGTAACAATTACTTGGGAAGCCAAATGCCATCACTCTGAACATTCCCCCCTTCCTCCTTCTTCTCCCAGCTTTATATGTGGTGGGGTGGGGAGAGAAGCAGAAAAGGCCTTGACCCTGTGTAAGCACTGCTCAGCAGTAACTAAAGCATCCCTGTGTTATCAACACTGTTTTCAGCACAAATCCAAAACATAGGCCCATACTAGTTACTATGAAGAAAATTAACTTTATCCCAGCCGAAACCAGGACGTCTCCTTTATTACTCACTGTTAGCTCCCAGTGTTCAGCACTCTCAAGTTCCTGCACTCACAGTTAGGGTATGTCACTACTGCGCGGCAGGCGAGGCACGCAAACTGCCTCGGCTGCTGGTTTTCTGCTTATCTGCCCTGCCGGGGTGGTGTCCGGGGGTGGGTGAATTGGCACGCAGCAGGTGCAGCTCCCTGGGCTGCGCTGTTTCTGGTACCTGGCACAGATTGCTTGGACCGGGACCATCTCCCTGCCCTTTTTTGCTCACAGCCGGCTTGTGGCATAGAGGGGCATGTCAGACCAGGTGAACAGCATGTCTCGCATGTGTGTTCAGGGTACTGATCCTTTCAGGAAAAAGTGGGAAAAACATAGGAAGAGACGTACTGTCCCTTGCTCTCCTGTCTTCTGGAGGCTGTGTTCAGCTATGCTAATTTGTGAACTTTGGTCTGCCAGCTAAGTTTTGTCTTTAAAAGTAGTCTTAAACAAGAGTCCTCAGCTTGTGCCATGTATGTGCTGACTTAAATAGACCAAAAATGATGGGCCATGTCAGAACTGCTGACAGTTTCCTCTGTATCTGAGTCAAATTTGCACATTGCAAGAGGTGTGGGGGGTGTGGTGTGTGGGTAGGGACAGGGTGAGGGTTGCTTTCCTGAGGTAAAGTGCAGGAGTCAGCTTCCTTCTGTGTTTCTCATCCTAAAGGGAGCACATAGTTTGGGGTAGGCTTGTGCCTACTCCTTGCATAGGTTTGGTGGCCAATGCCCCTCTTTCTGGGAGGGAGCAGGTATACTGCAGAGCTGCTAGAACATCCCCTCTTGTATGAGGCCCTACTAATCCCCTCGCTCCTTCCCCAGGCCTATGCAGAGGTGAGGTAGGCTCACTGCCCTAGATCATCTGCAATCAGTCTGTGTTTGATAGAGGTAAGGGAAGGGGGGAAAAAAAAAAAAAGGAGCTTGAATTATGTAGCTGGAAGGTAGACTGTAGGCAAACACTTAACTAGTGTTTACAATGTGTGCTCTTGAGAAGATTGGTTCTGTGCATGACTGCAATGGCATGTAAACCCAAGCTGGCTTCCAGCATGCTTTTTTTTCTTTGCCTTTCTTTTTTTTAGAAAGGCAAGGTATAATTTACATCCATAGTTCTTAAATAAAATAAAATAAAATTTAGTATTCTGTTCTTAAGATTTGAAATTACATTGGTAAATTCATGCTTATATATTGTTTAGCTAGATATGAGCCTAAAAGTCTGAAATTAAAGGGTTTGTCTTCAAAGGATACTCAGGGAAAACTAATTAACCACTTTAAAAAGTATGAAGGTGTAGTAAATCCATGTGTGGATTTTTTTTTTAGAAAGAAAACATTATATGCTCAAATTACTTTTAATTCCTTTAGTAATCAAGTTAGAATGAGTTACAGATAATTTAATTGATATTCATTATTTAAATTATTAATTTACAAGTGTTTAAGTGTGTACAGAGAAGTTTAGAATTACTCAGAGATGTTTATTTGTATCATCCCTATGTAGACAAGTCTTGAGACTTAAGTTTTTGTATTGTTCTTAAGAGTAAATTGCTGTTGATGAAAAGGTAGATTAATAATGGAAATTACTGAAAGTAACAATGAAGGACATAGGAAAAAACAATCATGTCCTAGTATAAACAGTATCATCAATAAGTTTGATAAAGGCATTTGATTTTTCTGACACCAGGTGAGAGCAACTCTGGAAAAAGTAAGAAAGAAAATGTATGGTGAATATGATGAAATGAAACGAAAAATACAGCAGCTTACGAATGAACTGAAAGTAAGTATACATTAATT